TAGATAGATAGATAGATAGATAGATAGATAGACAGATAGATAGAGTGGAGATCAAAATTAGAGAAGAACCTACAAATTCCTAAATTTCAAGGCACTTCTTAGTTATTCTGAAGTTATTCTATATTTCATAAACTAACTGTATTCTGAAGCACGGTATAAAAAAACTTAAATGAGATATTTGAAAAAGAACTCTGATCAAAATTAGAGAAAACTTACAGATACTTCCAAGTTATTGGTGTTAATCTGGCACCTGGTGCTAATTTCCTTAATTATATGACAAACCCTAATTAACTGTCATCATTCCTCCAATTTTTACTGAGATTGCAAGATGGCGGGCTGCTCTAAGGTGACGGAAACCCTGTGACAGGAGGTTGTCCAGATGAAGGCCAAAGGGATGACCCTTTCAGCCACTGCAAGAGAAGCTGGTCATTCCAATTCTGTGATTTCTAGAATATTGCAGCTTTACAATGACACTTTTTTTGAGTGATGAAGAATAACATTATTGTTTTAGAAAAAAATCTATTGGTGTTAATCTGGCACCTGGTGCTAATTTCCTTAATTATATGACAAACCCTAATTAACTGTCATCATTCCTCCAATTTTTACTGAGATTGCAAGATGGCGGGCTGCTCTAAGGTGACGGAAACCCTGTGACAGGAGGTTGTCCAGATGAAGGCCAAAGGGATGACCCTTTCAGCCACTGCAAGAGAAGCTGGTCATTCCAATTCTGTGATTTCTAGAATATTGCAGCTTTACAATGACACTTTTTTTGAGTGATGAAGAATAACAATATTAAGTATTTATAGATTGTTCTCTAATTTTAGAGATAGAATGATAGATGTTAGAATTATAGATATAACATTAGAACGTTTGGATGGATGAACACAGGAGGATCATGTGTCTTCCTGCTGAAATACTGTTGACATAAGTTATATTTAGTGACCATGAGCTATTGCCTTATGTAATGCATTACAGTAATTGATATTTACAAATATTAGACAAGCATTCTTCACCCTCTTTTTCCTTAGGGCTTAAATATACCATCACTAATGCTAAGTGTTTTGAAAACAATGACCAGGGACCTTATGCCCAGTCGGATTTTCAAAGCTGTTTGCTTCAAACATGTTCAAATAACATGAGCATCAACCAGGCTCTCTGGGATCAGTAAAGATCTAATGATTTTTTTCCTCAACAGACTTTACTAATAGGTGCACGGGTGCATACTGGTGTACACTGATCAAAGAACAAAACAAAATAGTCGTTCATGAAAGAGATCTGCTGGTATGAATCCTAGACCCATTTTTACGCCAGGCACAACGCTTTTCACAGTGCTGAAAAAACTGTTCTTATCGGCTAACTGTGACAGCTTACATCTCTGCTGGGTGATCCATCTCAGGCCATTTGTCATCGTTTCAAAAACACCATTATCTCTGTCAACCCCATTCAACCTCTCGTAGTTGGCCATTTACCCTAACGTGACTGCAACTGCTAAGTAACACAAACTGAACAGCTTTTTTTATGTCAGTTCTAAGCTTCAGACCTTTTACATTAATGACAGCTGCGGGAGATTTTGCAGTCTGCAGTTTTCTGCAAATAAATATAAACACAAACACACCCACATTCCCCCTATTTAAGGAACAAGCGCACTTACTTACGAAAATTAAATGTGGAACACCTATTTGCTAAGTGAAAAGCAATAAGCCAAATAAATCATTGGTCTATAGAGAAATTAAGCAAAGCTGATGTGATGTTGTTACTGTAAATGGTGTCAACATGTCTTAAAAAAAAATTGTAGATAAAATAGATTGAATGATAGATAGAATAATAGGATCAACATAGAACGATAGATAGAACAATAGAACGATGGATTGATAGAACGATAAACAAATACATAATAGAACAGTCATTGGATTAAAAGAGCTGTAGTTAATCCAAGTATATAGTCGAAATAAATGGACAATGTATTGGATTATTTAAGAAAAATATTATTACCATTTCGTATTTGGTCTAATTTGGACTAAGAATACCTTCAAAAACAATTTGTGAATCCAGATCTGCCTGTGGTACATACGTCTCTTAGCAACCGGAGTATGAAGTCTACTATTATCTGGCATTATCTATCATCTTTCATATTATACGGTATGTTTTAACTCTGAACTTTCTCAAAGCACACAGCACATAATGCTTTTCACATTCACAGCTGACAGTCAAATCGATAAACCCACTGCATATTAATACACACATAGGTCTATTTTAAGCATCCTTTCAGCTCGGGCACCCCCACAATGGGAAGACAGATGCATAACTCATAAAGTCTCTTTCTAAAGCTCGGCGTGTACAGCAGCCGCTGTCTCCCGTAATGCAGAAGGCCATTAAGCTGGCCTCAGCAGGGGGACACATCATGCTGTCCTGGAGACTAATGATACAGCAGTGGCATCCCTCTTTGCATCTGCCAAACGTATTCGGTCAGTCTCTTGCAGGTCACTTCACCGCAATGTAAACATATGAAGGGTGTAGGAGATAATGGAAACAGATCTTTTATAACTATTTACTTGTAACTGTTGCTGTCATGTCCAGATTTAAGACTTCTGTTCTGTGAGTACTGTAATAATGGGCATACTGTCAAAACAAATTAAAATAAATGGCATTTCTAATAGCTAGAAATGCCTTTCTAAACAGCACAAAATTTGTATTTGCAAATTTGTTTTGCACTTGTTTTGTATTATTAGTTGCCGAATGAAGAAATCAAACACAATAGTTTTTTTTGTAATATGCTTAGAGAAGTGCCTGAACATGAATATTTTATAACACAGCTGCCTTGTGTTGTATCCAGTGTGATTATGATATTTTTCATCTTTTAATGGAAACTTTATCTTGTTATTGTCTCTCGCTTCACAATAAAAATGATCATTATGTTATAAAAACATTACCGTTTCCATTTATTTAATTTGTCACAAAAAGTCTGTCATTTCTCTTTGATTTGATGAGTTTCAACTCAGTTTCCTTTAACTGTAATTGCACGTAAAGTAGTTGAAACAGTGAATGAACTTATTAAAAAGTATTAAAGAACTTCTAGCATTTAAGTTCTGAATTCTTTACATTGTATTGTTACTGTTGTTGTCACTGTAAAATGATTTGTCAAAGTTGTAAATCAAACTGGGTACATGGAGTACATTTCACTAGAAAATACCATTTCAGGCTTTCTACCTTACTTGCCATTTCTTTGTAACTATTTGTGAAATTTACTAGCAATTTTTTCCCCCAGTGTAGATGTGACCTGATAGTAAATGCAAGATTTTCTGGTACAAAATATAAAATCGTTTTTTGGTTATTTGTTTTAATGTTGAATATATTGCATCAAAAAATTCACATTCAATAAGTTAAATATCCAAAACTGATAGCCACCTGGCTGTATTTACAGTGATACGAACATATGGTCTGAGAGTCAAACTTAAAGATTAAACTTACTTTCAAATCGCAAATTGCAGTATAGAACCAAAAATCAGATCAATAAACGAGTGTTTTAACTCACCTGAAGCGCTATAGACGTTAGAGAGCATCAGTAACAGGGTTCCTATGACAACAAAAGCCATTTGTCCGGCTTCCAACAAGACTTGCGCTTTTCTTTATGGCATAAGTATACAGTTTCTAAACAAAGGACATTCTTGTTGGAACATTCAGTCGAAATAAAAATGAGAGCGGAAAAAGCACTTCAGCTGCTCTCTTGGAGAAATCCACAGCGGCGCATTACGCTAAAGTCTCAGTGATGTCTGACCCGAAACGCTCGGACCTCTGTGTTAGGAACTGCATGACGACTCTGAGGTCTAATTAGTTTGTTCACTCCCTCCGTCACTCATTTGGCTGTAATGTCCGTCCGCTGAAGCGCAGAATGCGGTACACAGAGTTCACAAGCTGTGCATCCATTCGGCTCACTGCATGGCGTTTGAATGAGATGCTCGAGAGTGACAGCGCTCCGCAGAATGAAGCGCGAGAGCAGAGCTCGCTTCCCAAACCAATCTTAAAGCGACAGCTTTCCATCGCTGTCCCGGTCAAGGGCATTTAACCTTTCTAATTAATCATTTTATAATAATTATCAAATAGTTATAATATTATAATTACTTTATATATAAAAAAAAAACACTTTAAAAAAATGAGCTGATTGCATTATTCTCCACATATAGCGCGATCTGAACCCTTAACACGTTTTGTCAAAAAAGCCGGTTTTGTCCACTTTCAAGGCATCGCGAGTTCACGTTTTACTCAAGCGACAACCTTCCAATTACCTTGTGAAATTTACTAGCAATTTCTGAGTGAAACTACACCATTTTTCCCCCTGTGTAGATGTGACCTGATGTAACTCAACATTGATAGTAAATGCAAGATTTTCGGGTACAAAATATAAAATAGTTTTTTGGTTATTTGTTTTAATGTTGAATATACTGCATTAAAAAAATGAGCTGCTTTTTGGTTTTACTCTCTGAAACCAACATGGAAGTGACTAAAACTGCAATTTATCGACTGGCCGCTAGAGGCTGGCTCCAAAAGGGAGTTAGATCCATAGACTCCCCATGTTAAAATGCCCAAATTTACGAGATGGTCCTCACTGCAGAACACAAGATCCAGGGGGCGAGGTTGGATCCAGATCCAACTCCTCCCACCTTACATATCTAAACCTACCCATCTTCACCCCCTGCTCCCTAATCCCACCCATCTCCACCCCTAAACCTACCATCTCCAACCCCGCCCCCTGGATCTTTGTTCTGCAGTGAGGGGCTACTGAAATTTACAGCAGAAAAAATGTTTACAGCCTGGTACAAAAATATTTTTTTTTTATAACTCATCCGTTTAAATTATATTAAGCCTTCAAATTCTGCATAATTAAGGGCGTGGCCACTTGAGTGACAGGTGGATTGCCGCTGCTGTCACCACCGTCGAGCTAGGTGGGCGTGTTTTGAGCAACCAGCTCCCACCTCTTTGCCCATTTTAGATTATCTGGGAGTCTCTGCCATAATGGCGATGGCCGGCTCCGCCTACTTTAGGCTTCAAAAACGCTCTTCGGAAACCTACGGTTGACGTCACGGACACCACGTCATTCTTGAGAAGTGGGACAAAACAGGGTGAAAATTGAAAAAAATAAAACCTTGTACTCAGACAAATGAAACTACATTTATGTATCTTATATGTACTAAGCTACTGACCAATGCTTTGATACAACCTCCCAACTTTTCTCTTTGGACTGTCTAATATAATTTCAGCTTTATCTTTAACAGCATTCAAGACGTTTTTTAACATTTCAAAACACATTCTCATGTTAGCAGACAGATTACACTTTCACATGTGATCAACAATTCCACAACAAATATAAAATATAATGAAATATTATCAAAATATTCAACTGATGGAGTTGACACATCTGACGGTGGTGATGAAAACCTGAATTTGTAGTAATTTTAACTATCAAATACATTGAATAAGTCAATTACTGTATTAAAACAAACAGTGAGTATGTTATTGTTTATAAAGCTTTTATTCAAGAGTCACATTTAAGTATTTTGATATAATTGGAACAGAAAATCTTATGGTGGTGACATCTGACGGTGTTGACTAATTTGGTATTTCTTTCACAAAACCAATGGAGTTCATGTAGTAGCCATTTTATTTTTTTCTGTTGATGCTAATGCTAATGGAACCTGCTTCAGGAGAATAAAATTATCTAAATATTTCAAATAATTTCCTCAGAAATTGGAAGATGGTGTTGCTGGTTTGAAAAGGTCAGATGACCGTATAACCTCACAGGTGTCACGCACAAACAGTAGCCTAATGATAACCCCTTTCATGCTCTTCCCAATATTGTGACAGACATCATATTTAAAAGATAGAATTTGAAGGAAACTGTAAGATATGCGCGTTTTATTTTCAAAGTGTTTTGTTATTGATGCGGTGAGTCAGACAGCTACACTGCAAAAAAAATAAGGCCTATCTCTTTCCACAAAATATAGGCTATAAACATTCTAAAATATAAGTTTACCTTTTAGGCAAATTATTAATAAATTAGAATAGTGATGTCTCAAAACGCATTTATAGTCCATATCTCATATTTTCCTAACGCGCTGTAGGCTACCCTTAACTGCGTTAAACGGTGTCACGTGGATGGAAATATGCAAGGAAATAATATGCAGATTACGTCTGCATATTAAAACTAGGCGTTGTAAGCTCCATATATGGCTATTTCGGGGAGGAGACGGGGTGGAGATTCATGTACGCACAATCTTCCGCTGACTGAGTATTACAAAGGGAATTTTGCGCAGGTTCTGGTGTACGCATGGCTTTATAAAGCTGAAAACTTTTGTACGTACGCAAAATCTAGCTTTTGTGCATACGCACACATTTAGGATGAAATCTACGTAAAGTTTCCTCTCATAGGCTCACTTCGATTCAGCGATGACATCATCGCTTTGGGAACACCTTCGGTGTGACGAATGTCTGGCAGATGACGTTTGCATATTAAAACTAGGCGTTGTAAGCTCCATATATGGCTATTTCGGGGAGGAGACGGGGTGGAGATTCATGTACGCACAATCTTCCGCTGACTGGGTATTACAAAGGGAATTTTGCGCAGGTTCTGGCGTACGCATGGCTTTATAAAGCTGAAAACTTTTGTACGTACGCAAAATCTAGCTTTTGTGCATACGCACACATTTAGGATGAAATCTACGCAAAGTTTCCTCTCATAGGCTCACTTCGATGCAGCGATGACGTCATCGCTTTGGGAACACCTTCGGTGTGACGAATGTCTGAAGCCCTTATACCATCACGCCAATTTATTGGCCAAATAGCGCTTAGCACCGCCCCCAATGCGCACGTAGGTGAGCTATATAGCATGCTGCGCGCTATTTCCATCAGATTTAATTTCCTTCAGGAAGCGAATCATCTGTCGCCCGTAGGAAAGCGTTCTTTTATCGTGTTCTCAGCTAATTTCTTCTAAGAGCAGTTTACTCCTCTTCAGCGGACACGATGAGCTACAGGAGATGCATCAAGCCGTGTGACAGGTTCATCGCAGGAGGAGACACTCATGACAGGTGTGTGCAATGTTTGGGCCTACAACACGCCTAAGCTGCGCTTAGCGGCCTCTCTGATTGTCGACACTGTGATAGCCTACGGCTAAAAGCACTGCGCTCGAGGTTCGCGGCCTTCTCAAATAAAGTAGGCCTCGCGTCTAACCCCCGCTATCCCGTTTCTGCGGTTGCCGCACAAGACAGTCGCTTGGGGTGACGCATGCGAGCCGAGGCGCTTAGAGGGCGAGTCAACGGAGTTCTCTCCTTTTCTCTCGCTCTCTCCAGGCCATGTGCAAGCGCTCGAAGAGTTCTCTCCCTCTGAGTGGACAGGAGAAACGCACCTCCCCGTCTTACAGTGAACTATTAGACATTGTAACGCGCTCTGTGGATAAGCTGGGGTTAGAGTGGGATGAAGCGCTCGAAGAGTTCTCTCCCTCTGAGTGGACAGGAGAAACGCTCCTCCCCGTCTTACAGTGAACTATTAGACATTGTAACGCGCGCTGTGGATAAGCTGGGGTTAGAGTGGGATAGCGAGCCGGCGCAAAATCAGACCCAGTCGAAACTGGACGATCGATTTTTGTCTAGCCGCACTCCGTCTCAACCCCGTAGGCCCCTCCCCTTCTTCCAAGACCTCCACCACAAGGTTTCGAGGTCTTGGAAACAACCTTTTTCGGCGCGCATCACTAATCCCGCAGCCGCTGATTTCACCACGGTTTCTAAAATGGCGGATCACGGCTATGCGGCGATGCCGGCCGTAGAAGAGACTCTCATGGCACATCTCGCTCCAAATTCCGCTCCGTCTTGGAAGTCACGCCCTCTGCTGCCATCCAAGCCGTGTAGGGTTACTTCCACTTTGATTGGAAAATCTTACATGGCCGCTGGGCAGGCTGCGGCTACACTACATTCTATGGGTGTACTCCAGGCTTATCAGGCAGATGTGCTCAAGGAGCTGGACGAGGGAGAAAGCCTGACCCCAGAGGCCGTTAAAGAGCTCAGACGAGCTACTGACTTGGCACTAAGGGCTACCAAGCACACGGCTCGAGCAGTGGGCAGGTCCATGGCAGGTTTAGTGTCAGCTGAGTGCCATCTTTGGCTCACTCTCACTGACATTAAGGAGAAGGACAGGACCTTTCTTTTGGACGCCCCCATTTCGAGTGACGGTCTGTTATTGGGGTCCTAGGTCTCGCCCACCTGCTCACCCACGACAACGCAAGCGGTTAGACCTGAGTTCGACAGCTAAGACCTCTCGTTCTCAGGTTCCTAATAGCAGTTCCTGATTCCTCCGCTCGTCTTCGGAGGCCAGGCCCTCCTTTAGAGAGTGTGGACGAACTGCACAAGCATATTCGCCCCACTCGCTGTGGTCTCCTGACTCCGATCTTGATGGTCCCGCCGCATATTGCGCCTCGGGCAGTCTTCGGGCAGAGTTAGAAAGAAAGCCCAAGGGTCATGCGAGCATGGCCCGTTTATGACGGCCTCCAAAGCTCCCACCTTTGGGGTGGGGGGCAGGCCTGACAGGACAATCTGACTTCTTCCTGTTATAGCTTTTTCCGCCACTCAGGTGCTCCGGGATCCTATACGGAAGAATCAGGCGTACGTTCCAACCGAAACAGAATGCCCAAGACCCCTGGCAGACTATTGGGCCGCGTGGAGATGCCTGCCCGATATTTCAAGGTGGGTACTATGCACCGTTCGACACGGTTACACTATCCAGTTTCGAAAAGGGCCACCTCCTTTCAGCGGGGTTCTTCCTACGACGGTACGTCCTGGGGAGGCCTCAATCTTAAGTCAGGTGACAGGTTCATCGCAGGAGGAGACACTCATGACAGGTGTGTGCAATGTTTGGGCCTACAACATGCCTAAGCTGCGCTTAGCGGCCTCTCTGATTGTCGACACTGTGATAG